CTTTACATGATGGATATAATTACACTGGTTTTTGAATGCCTAACAGTTGTCTCTTGAGCCTGCCTCTGTCTATACGGACCAACCTCCACTCGTCCAACACCACTTTGTGACACTCTTAGTTATGGTCTGGGGAAAGGGACTCACTATAGACCCGATCAGACTGTCAGTTGGAGCCCCGACTATAAGGTGCAGTAATTGAAGACCATGACGAGAACAACAACAAACCACCTTTATCTTCCCGTACTCTTCCTACTATCCAATCTATCTATCTAGTTAGTTATTCCCTTGTTCACATCAGTCCAGTCCGTTCATTCTTCCTTGTTGTCCCAGTCTTTCATTATCAATTCTCCTACGGATAGCGCCATGTCAGGACAGAACGCACAACAGGCCCATGTCACCAGTGTGCCACCTGATCCTCTGTATCCTGCAAAAGGGATAAGTCGTACCGAGGAAGAGTTGGAGCTTCCTCACTTTCTCTCTCTGACGCCAGGGCAGATTTCGGGTGTAACCCAAGGTTCTGGAAAGAGGAAAGCAGAACACTTTACCTTATTGGACGACGAGTCGATTGATGGACTCCTTGACCGGCCTAAGACACATGAGGAAAGCTCTGGGCTTGCGCAGGCAGGTAAGGAATGCAAATATTCCACGGGTGGACGTGAAAGAAAAAAAAGAAGACTTTCACACGAGGGGGTACCTGAGGCTTCTTGTGAAAAGATACCTAAAGCCTCTGGCGAAGAGACATCCAAGGCCATCCACGGAGAACATAGGAGATACAATCATTCCAAAACGAGAGGTAACCCTATGGATTGAGACAAGAAAGAAGATGCATGTCAATGGAGGCCCACCTGGGTATACACGCCACACCCAACGCGGCTTACCTCCTTTTCTTTTAGACCAACAATAACAACCTGATCCATAAGGGTCAGGGTAGGAGCCCAAGATTCAAGGTCTAGGGTTGAGGAAACAGTATGTCCATTGACAGTGGGGCTAGAGGGAGTTGAGTTGGTAGAGTCGATGGCATTGGTATTGGCGGCCACCCGTCGTCGGGAAAGTCCAGAGGTCGGAGTGGTCATGTTCGTGCCAAGATGGAAAAGGGGGGGGAGGGGATCGGAAAGAATGGCCTTGAGATGGGGAGGAGGAGGAGGAGGAGGAGGAGGAGGAGGAGGAGGGAAGAGGGAGAAGGAGGCCAAGGACCACGCTATGCTTCGTCCAGCGGTGGCTCCTCCCACCTGTCTGCCACTATCCCTCCCATCCTCTCCCCATATATATATATCTCTCTCTCTCCACGCTCCACAGTGATCTCTCTCCCGGTAGGCTGTGCCCATTTCACTACGTCCAATCATCAACCCCACCTTTACTCACACAGAACTCTCCCCTTGCTCTCCTCATATGAGTGTGAAGGCTTGGGCACTGCTTGCTTCCTTGCTTACACGAGCCCTTCCTTTCCTTCCTCCCCCTCCCTTCCTCCATCCCTCCCCTAATCATGTCCCAGTACTACGAGCTTTACCGAAGGTCCACCTTGGGATTTACCTTGACTGAGGCCCTCGATGAACTGATCCAGTCAGGACACATCAATCCACAATTGGCCATGCGAGTCTTGAATCAGGTTAGTCCAGAAGTAGAAGAGGTCATGGAAAAGTGCCTAGCCCCTCCCTCCCTCTCACCTCCTCTTCTCCCCCCTCTCAGTTTGATAAGACCATTACTGATGTCTTGGCTGCCAATGTCAACAACCGCATCACCTTCAAGGGCTCTCTGAAAACATATCGCTTCTGCGACGACGTCTGGACCTTTAACCTTCAGGACGCCAACTTTCGCTTCGAAAAAGACAATGTCCCTTCCTCCAAGGTCAAGATTGTCGCTTGCAATTCAAAGCGACCTGGTGAGATTTAGTGCTGTTTCTTACAAGGGGGAGAGGAAGGCCCCGTCATCCTCCCTTTTTCCTGTATGGATGCAACATCCGTCGGTAGTGCGTACCGAGACTGGAGGAGGAATATCGATTGCTTCATGTGTACTTCTTGGCCCTTTCCACCCCACTACTGTATTATTATTATTATTATTATTTAAGTTGACCTAGAGGATGTCATTCAGAAAATGCAAGGTCCATACAGTGAATGGTCCAAAAATGTCGGAATGCCCCCTGCCAGAATTGAACTAGCGACCTTTGGTTTACAAGACCAACGCTCTACCACTAAGCCAAGGAGGCGACATTTTGTGTCGTTTTGACCCTCCTTGATATTAGTTATACTTTTACGCAGCTCGCTCTTGTTTATCCCTTATCCTTGTCCACCTCCCTCATCATTACCCCATCCTGGAATAGGTTTAAAACCGGCCTATCCAATAGATCTTGAGGATAGTCAATTGCATTTTGACAGAGAATTGCTCAAGGAAACTACAAAACACCCTTGTGTCTTTTTCTATCCTCAACATATTTACAGAACTTTCCATACCTATATGTTATTACAATATTATCATGATAGTGGATTAATTATATGACATAAAAACCCCAAATTATTATCTTTGCAGAGCAGTGATTAGTCCATAGTACTAATAAAGTCAGCCTTTATGGTAATAAAAATCCTCATGCCACCATTATCTCCTGGATCCTTGATGGAGCTTCTTATGTCCATGAACCCCTTGTACCTCATCCAAATCAATGTGCTTCAGAGATACATTATCTTCTTAAGGTTCTGCTTGTCCTAGAACCTAGATTAAGGCTTGGCATTTGCCCGAGAGATGGATGAATGGCTGGGCGAAATTTTTATAAAAAAAAGAATACACTGAATCTGCCAGCTTTCCCTCCTTCAGTGAGATTGTGGCAAGATTGGGCTGGGTTTGGTATTCGAAGCAAGTGCTGGGGAAAGTGCCTCCCAGGACCACAACTGTGTCCCATCGTTTCAATTCCCATCTCCATAGGTTCAG